ACGCCGCCTATGCACACAGAGTCGGTTCCAGGAAAGTGAGGAACAATGCTGCAGTTCTGGATCACTCTCCACGAAGAAGAATCCGCTGATCCCAATGTGAGGACTTGATGTTCGCAGAACCGAGTAACATTGGTCAAGCAGAGGACTTTGTATTGAGCATCGATTGGATCATATCCTAGAAAGGATCTGACGACCATTTCCTGGGATCTGACAGTGGCTGGTGGTAAAGTAATGGACTTGCCTGTGGTGGGATTACTAATCACCTGTTCATCGCCGTACAAGAAGCTCATCAACCCATGAGCGTAACAAGGATTCTTGTAGCACTGTTTCTTGAACTGAAATTCCCAGCTTGATACAAAATCAGCTCGTGGTTCCGGCCTTGGGGTGGTCCTCAAGACCGGATCTGGCTCAGGGAGACATTGGGGTGTGGAGAAAAAGTACCAACCTTCTTGATAACCCTTTACTTGTGTGTTGAAAGCTAAGAGAAGGCGAGGCGGCTGCTTCTCCGGGGAGAACCGGAGCGAGTATGATCTGACGAAATCCCGGCCGGCGATGGTTGTTGCCCAATACTTGGATACGCAGAGGAACCTGCCTACGTCTTTCGCAGGTAGACTCAAGAGGATCTCGAACAGCATGTGCTCCACAGCTGGATCTGGATCCACAGATTGCTCCTTCTTCTCCGTTACCTCCGCCATGTTAGAGAATTTGGATCCGCCATTTCAAGAAACTCACTAATATAGCTCTCGGAAGGAAAAACAAAGGAAATATTAATCGACAGGTTAAAGTTACTGTTTTATTTTATTTTCTTAGTTAAAATTATAAGATAATATAGGAAATTATCCGTTTTTGTAAACTCTACTACTAATAATATCAGTGAAATGTGTGTTTGACGAAAAAAGGGGGAGGAAATTATTATTTTTTTGTCGGAGATAATTATAATTTTAACTAAGAAAATAAAATAAAACAGTAACTTTAACCTGTCGATTCATTTTCCAGACGAAGGGAAATTTACACGGACCTTGTTTGTACATGTGAATTTACACAGCTATCCTCATCTTTGGCTTTCTTTTACCGTTACACAAATGAAATCAAAAAATTCATATCGCTTTCAGATCAAATCCATTTCCGATCTCTTCTTCCCACATAAACCATATATCCACACGACACATCGGCCATCAATGTCACAGATGAGAAGCAATCTTCTAAGCGCAGACATGATTAAAAAATAATTTAGCATTTCTGAAATAGAAGTTGGAACAGATAACAAGACAGAAGGGAATGTTTCATGAGAAAGGATGATCTAGCAAATTAACCGAATAGAAAGGGCGAACAAGACATACTTATCAAGTTTTTCTAGAACCATCGCCGTAATGACTAAAGTATGAAAAAAAAAGTTTACTTGATCAGAGCTTGCCAATATTAAACAGAAAAAAAAAAGAACAGCTATAAGGAAATCAACTTCCATTAACTTTCTTACAGTCTAATCTAATCTCTCCACTACTCCCTGTCAAGGGACTAATATTCCCCATGTTGATCATGGACTGAGCAAAGGCCTGAAAAAACAGAGTCTGGTTACTTGAGAAGGAAGCAACAATCGCAATAGTGGCTGCACCGGTGGTAGAGAACAGTTCTTGGTCTGACTGAAGAAGCCCATTGTTGCTCTGAAGGTTGGTGAAGTAATTGTTATCAAACGCATCAGGTGTGCTCAGATCAAGATTTGTGATCCCCGATCCGCTGCCGTTTTGAGGGCAAATCTTTTGAAGACTGCTGAGAAGCGTCGTGTTTAGAGTCGGGTCTGGATTTCCTGACCCGCTGAAGTTGAATACTCTGTTACTGAACACTCCACATCGAGCACGCCCGAACGTATGTGCACCTACGTTACGTAGATGGAAAACCACAGGAGATGGCGTTAGGGTTTTGTTTTATTTGAGCCGCAAGTTAACTAACTAAACATGTAGATGATTTTAATTACCAGATAAGGCTACTAGATCGTTCGTATTTAAACCGACGGATGAAAATTTAGATGTGATGTTGCTAAGGCTTTCGAAGGGAGAAGGAATTGACGAATTTGCGCCGGCTTGGTTTGCTGTGAGACTATCTCTTCTGCCTAATAATACAGTCCACGAAGGCCCTCCTGCCTAATGATGATCAATATAGATGATTGTGAACTGTGAAGATATGTATATATTGTTTGGTATGTCTTACTGAGAAAGTGTTATTACCAAAGAAACAGAGGCCTCTGAGGCAAGAGCTAAAACGTCAGAGCAAGAGACAACGCTGGGGCAAGCGTTCTCAAGGGCAGTCTTGATATTATCGACAACGTCGAATCCTCTAGCCGAGTTTGTGTTCGGGCCAGCATTCTTCTCGCTCTGGATGCTTCCACTATCGTCAAGCAAGATCGACGCGTCGCAGCCCTTTCATAAACATGAAGAAATGTAACGGTTTAGGCGAAAAAGATCATGGGGATTTTACGTTAAAGAGTTGTATTGAGAAGGACTATTATACATTAACAAAACAGTCGTGAAAATGAAGGCGGATGAGGCTGGCTCCGATTCTCGAGTCGGACTGAAGAGCTTGCTGAATAGTGCTGCGTACGATGGCAGAGGCGTTAGGGCACGTCCCGGAGTAAAACGTTGCGTTTAACTGCGCAGATGATGTCCCAAACAATGAAGAAGAGATTACGAGACTGGTGAGAATTATGATGGAAAAACCATTGTAAGTAGTAGGCGGATTTGTTACAGCCATTAATTAGGTTGTGGAAGTAAGTAGTTTTTCTTATTAGTGGTTTTTTCCCTGATTGGTGCGGAGCTTATGACTATGTTGTATATATAGGGAAGCAAAAATTTGTTTGAACGCGTTCATATATATTGACTGGTCATGAAAGTGAAAGGTTTTAATTAAGCCAATAACTAGATTAACGTGTGTGTTTGTGTACTTAGTACAAAAGATGAGACGAAAAGCTGGCGATTCTAAATTTTCTCTAGTTAAAAGTTACTCTATTTGTCTTTAGGTTACACCATCTCCATCATCACTTGCATTATTGTAATCTTCCCACGCGGTTAGTAAAAGAATTTCTAAAAAGTTACGTAAGTTGCTTTTTTAACACGAAATCGGTCGTTAAGGTGATCGGATTTTTTTACACCAAAAACATGATACAGCCAATATTCCAGTTTCAAAAGATAGCAAACATAGTTTTATTTTTATGTTTTATTCTTTTAGCAAACATATTTAATGCATTCAGATTCCCATTTGTAATCATGAGAATTCATATAAACATGGACAAAACTATAAGAATGTGAACGGCCATCTCAATTCTCACAGTTAATACGCAAATTTATAGAGAAACTTTTGAAAAATTTGAGTCTGCAAAAAAATTAGTTTATGTGTCACATTCTTTGAAAGAACTGCCTTCAATAGTTGTTAAAGCTTTACAGCTGTATTTAGAGAGAAAAAAAAAAAAGTAGATTCACGATCAACTGTATTATATGAGTTGTTACTTCACTGATTTTGATAAAGAATCTCCAAAAGTCAGTCTTACGAGACTTTTAGAGATGTTCCTTTTGACAATAACCCTGTAAACTAAACATTTAAAAAGATGCATGACTAGCTTCGGAGTCTTTGAGTTACGGTGATAGCGTTTGTCACCGACGACGGTTCTGCTTCGGCTCCGTTTCTACTCAGATTTTATTTGAAAATAATTTGAATTATTGTTTTAAATCACTTTAGAATAGTTGCTTCCAAATCTGAGTCAAAATCCCAACTACTTCTCGTCGTACTTATATTAATTTCTTCTGACTTAATATTTTTCTCCATTGACTGACACTAAAAATTCTATACGTTACTTTCTGGCTATTTCATCGTTCATATTTAAATCCAGTAAAACTGGCAAGTTGTTAACAAAAAAACAATAAGATTAGGTATCATATAGATCCATGCATGTAGACGAGATAAAGGGTTTTGAAATATTAATATTTTCAAACACAATTCTATCAGCCTACTATTCCATTTATTACGAAAACGATTCAGCTTAATTATTCATATTATCATATATGGTAAACAAGTGGTGAAACTGCTCCCATCATTGTTCACATATCTGCTAAACTCGCTCCTCCTTCAACGGAGCCAGATTGCAACTGAATGTCCTCTGCTTCAGCCGTGGATGACTGTCCATTAACCACTTTACAATCTAGTCTAATCTCTCCACTATTCCCAGTTAACGGACTAATATTCCCCATTTTGATCATCGACTGAACAAACGCCTCGAAAAACAGAGTTTGGTTACTTGCAAAGGAAGTTACAATCGGGATGGTGGCTGAGCCGGTGTCAGAGAACAGTTCTTGGTCCGACTGAAGAAGACCATTGTTTCTCTGAAGGTTCGTGAAGTAATTGTTATCAAACGCATCAGGGGTGCTCAGATCGAGATTGGTAATCCCTGAATTACTCCCGTTTTGAGGACAAAGCTGTTGAAGACTGCTGAGAAGCGTTGAGTTCAAAGTCGGGTCGGGGTTTCCTGTCCCGTTGAAGTTGAATAGTCTATTGTTGAAAGTTACGCATTGACCACGCCCAAACGTATGTGCTCCTATATATATGCACACATTAAACCACAAAAATTTGGCATTAATTAGTTAGTTAATTAGTTAGGGTTTTGTTTGAATTGAGCCGCAAGTAACTAAACATGTCAGATTATTTACCAGACAAGGCTACTACATCAGTTGTATTAAGCCCGACAGCTGAAAATTTAGATGTAATATTGTTGAGTCCTTCGAAAGGAGAGGGAAGAGACGAATTGGCCCCGGCCAGGTTCGCGGTGAGACCATCTCTTCTTCCTAATAACACCGTCCATGTAGGCCCTCCTGCCTGAAGATCATCGATCAAACATGTTTATTTACACGTTTTCTAACCAATCAAAGATATGTGTGTTAGTCAGTTAGTTTTATTACCAAAGACACGGAGGCCTCCGAGGCAAGAGCTAGAACGTCAGAGCAAGAGACAATGCCGGGACAAGCATTCTCAAGGGCAATTTTGATATTATCTACAACATTGAAACCTCTGGTTGAGTTTACGTTTGGGACAGCGTTCTTCTCGCTCTGGATGCTTCCACTGTCGTCGAGCAAGAGCGACCCGTCGCAACCCTTTACAAAAGTAAAGAAGCAAAGTAGCGGTTTAGTGTGACAAAAACAGAAAGCCTTAATTACGACAAATTAATTAAAGAAAATCAAGATGAGCATTATATACGTTAACAAAGCAGTCGTGAAAGTGAAGGCGGATTAGGCTGGCTCCGATTCTCGGGTCCGACTGAAGAGCTTGTTGAATAGTGGTGCGAACGATGGCAGATGCGTTGGGGCAAGTTCCGGAGTAAAACGTTGCGTTTAACTGCGCAGATGATGGCACAAACAATGAAGAAACGATGACAAGAAGGCTGATGATGAACAAACCATCACAAGTAGTAGACAAACTTGTTACGGCCATTAAGCAGTTTTTGCAAATAATGATAATTAATTAAGAGTTTTGATTCGTTTTTCGTTTGCTGATTGATTCTGAGCTTATGATTTGTCGAACATTATATAGAGAAGAAAAACTAATTAAACCTTGCCTGATCATGAAGGTGACAGGTTTTAATTTGAGTCAATAATCAAGTCAAAGTACGTGTTTGTTTTACCAAGTCAAAAAAAAAAAGAGAGAAAAGTTGGCCTTCTAGATTTAAGTTTGTGCGTTTTTGCTTATTCGTCAAAAACTTTTTAAAGAGTTAATTTCTTAGCCATCACGTACTCAGGTGCCTCGAAAAGTAAATAATCTGTGACAGAGTTGTTAGTTGTTAGGGCTTTACAGCTATGTTTTGAACTTTTGATGGAAGGTATGATATTTCTTTTTCACATTCGGAATAGATATTAGACAGAGACTAAAACTGATTCCAAAATATGAAAATAATAAGACTTTTTTTGCCATTTAATGTGTTGACGGTGGCCAAATGAGAAGCAAAATACCATTCGTTTGTCTAAAGTTTCAATCTGAAACAGTGATTATAGAAGACTTGTCGTGGAACCATAGGACGAGTCTTCTACCTTTGAATAAACCCACTGGACCACGCGCCGAATATTCACGTTAAATAAGCATGTCTACTTATTAAAATTGTAGGTTTCTAGAATAAGCCAAAACGTGTAAAAGACAAACTAAAAAGATGAAAAGGAAACGTCACAAAGATATCACAATATTTTAACGGAATAACCTTAGTGATCAAAAGATTCAAACCTGCAGTGTTTAGTAAATAGACTATAGCTCAAAAATAATAAGCTTTAAACTCCAAACTATAATATATGCCAACATTTTAAAATGGATACAAATTTCTGTAATAAGGATAACTGATTTGAATAATGCGTTTCTATAGAATTACAAATGAAAACAATTGATGAGAGGGAGGAGACAAACCACGTTACAAAGAAGAAATTAGAAGAGAAGAGAAAAAAAGAATTGTGGTATTGTGATCGATTAAGGTGTATAATAAGGTTAGTTTTTTTGTTGTTTGACCAAATATAATAAGGTTAGTTGGCTACAATATTCCCCCCCGCTAGTTTTCTTCGGATACATTTCCCCTAAGGAAACAAATTCATGTTGTTTCCTTTTTCATTTTGTAGTGAGAGATACACATTTATGACGTTCAAATTTTATTCTTCCGTTTTGACCGAAGTGCAATGCATCTTTGTCTTTTTTGTTTGGAAATGATTAACCAACCAAAGTTAGCTTCAGTCATTATATATTGAACAGAAGCAAAAGCCTCCGTAACAGTTGGACGGTAATAAAAAGTCATAGCAAATCCCGTAGCTACTTGTACTAAAAAACAAGTAAGGGTAATTCCTCCTAGACAATAAAATATGTTGACATGCGGAGGAACATATTTACTAGTTATATCATCTGCAATCGCCTGAATCTCAAGACGTTCTTCGAACCAATCATAAACTTTATTGAGATAGGTGGTACTCCCCCTCCAAGAACTGTATATGAGAATTTCATCTCGTACAGCTCAAACAAAAAAAGACCCAAAGACTCATTGAAACAGATATGGAATATAAAGTTTTCAATTTCTCTCTCATTCAATATTATTTAAAGATATGAAAGAGTCAAAATGCGAAAGCTCTTCTTTGTGGTTAAATGCCAAAAAATCAAGTCAGCTCATACGTTTTTATGTTGTACTGGCTTCTTGAATCTTCTCGATTGCCTATCTTTATTGTTTTTTTTATTTGGTATTTGTATGGAATGGGAATGCGGATTTCTTCTTGTTTTCTTTATTATTGATAGGAATTCTCTTGTTAAGACCCTATTTAACTAATCAATTGAAACCTCAGATTCATACGAGAACCACGATAATTCAATGAAACCTTCAAAGCCAAAAGTTCACTGAGTGAGAACCGTTGGATCATCACTTATTCAATCAAAAAACTAACTAAAATAACACTAAAAAAATCAAATACAAAGAAGCATTTGTCCTTTGATCCAAATAAGAGTTTAAAAGCAGAAAAGATTTTGATTTATTAAAGTTTCTAAGATAGAACGGAAAGAAGTCCGGCTACGAGGTCTGAGTATTAAGTATGAATCATAGTTCGAATACTTTGTGATCTATTTGATCCATTTCGTGCTTCAGATACTCGAATGAATATCCGACGAAGTAAAACCATCTTGATAAAGATGACAGACCCCATTCTCTGTACTATCCATAGGGTCAATTCTAACAAGTCACACACTCATATTCCGGAAATATACAATGCAGAAAAAATTTCGCGGTCGAACTACCAAAGGAGAATAGGCTAAAATTTTTAGACCTACATACTTTCCTTTTTTGTATCGAACTAAAAGCTAGGACTTCAAGATTCTTCTCAGTCTAATTCACTGAAATTCCATCCAGTAGAACAGAAGAATTATAAATCTCCAAAATAATGGATAGGAATACCGCAAATAGAGCCATTGCAACACCCATCAAAGGGGTGGTTCCCCATCCAGGAGCTACTTTACCATATTCGGAATTCAATGGTTTCAATAACTTCCCCACAGTAGTGCTTCTTGGACCCGATCTAGAACTATCTTCAACAGTTTGTGTAGCCATAAATCTTATTTTGTATTCATTACGATCTGTTGACTTTGTATACCATTCCGTTGTAAATAAACGATCTTAGCATAGATCCATTGTGGTCTTTCAATTTTATAATAATGGAAACAGCAACCCTAGTCGCCATCTTTATATCTGGGTTACTTGTAAGTTTTACCGGGTATGCTCTATATACTGCCTTTGGGCAACCCTCTCAACAACTAAGAGATCCATTCGAGGAACACGGGGACTAGTTGACGTAATCAGCCTCCAAATATTTGGAGGCTGATTACGTCAATGAAGATAATAAAAAATTATTTCATTTTTTAGTTGAAATTTTAGGTGGTTCCCGAAAAAAAATAGCGAAAAAAATTATCCCTAAAGTAGATACTAAGAGAAATGTATAAACCAATGCTTCCATAAATTTGATCGTGGTTTACAATTATAGCTTTCATACCTGTTTTGTTTATGTTTATTTAGGAGATGTTTATTTAGGAGTATCCCTCCGGATAAAGAAAGAAAAAGAGTCAAAGAAACGGCAGCAATTTAATTAAAGATTCCTACAGTACCCTACCTATTAAATAAAATTGCAAACAGAAACTAGACGCAAAAAAGCAATGTTGCATCAGACTGCTTGTCTTTTTGTAGTTGGATCTCCAAGTTTTTGGAATGCCCCAAATTCCACTTGAGCATCCAAATCGGGATCAATACCGGCAAAAACATCTCTGAAGAGGGTTCTAGCACCATGCCAAATATGTCCAAAGAAGAAAAGTAGAGCAAACGAAGCATGCCCAAAAGTAAACCAACCTCTTGGACTGCTACGAAAAACACCATCGGATTTCAAAGTAGCACGATCTAATTCAAAAATCTCACCCAATTGAGCCCGTCTAGCATATTTTTTCACAGTTGCGGGATCACTATAACTCACTCCATTGAGTTCACCACCATAAAACTCAACAGTTACACCTACCTGTTCGACACTATATTTGGATTCTGCTCTTCTAAACGGGACGTCGGCTCTAACAATTCCGTCTCCATCTACCAAAACAACCGGAAATGTTTCAAAAAAAGTAGGCATACGGCGTACAAAAAGTTCACGCCCTTCTTTATTTCTAAAGACGGGGTGTCCTAACCATCCAACAGCTATTCCATCCCCATTGTCCATTGAACCCGCTCGGAATAACCCCCCTTTTGCTGGATTATTACCAATATAATCATAAAAAGCTAATTTTTCAGGAATTTTAGACCAAGCTTCTGATACACTTTGATTTTCAGCTAGTCCAGCACTAACTCTTCGATATATTTCTTGTTGAAAGTATCCCTGATCCCATTGATAACGAGTAGGACCGAATAATTCGATGGGAGTAGTTGCAGAACCATACCACATAGTTCCAGCAACAACAAAAGCTGCAAAAAAGACAGCAGCAATACTACTGGAAAGGACGGTTTCAATATTTCCCATACGTAATCCTTTGTATAGACGTTGAGGCGGACGAACACTAAGATGAAATAAGCCCGCTAATATACCCAACGTCCCTGCTGCAATATGATGAGAAGCTATTCCTCCCGGAACAAAAGGGTCAAACCCCTCGACGCCCCACGCCGGATTTACAGGTTGGACCTTTCCGGTTAGTCCGTAAGGGTCAGATACCCATATTCCAGGACCATATAATCCTGTTACATGAAATGCGCCAAAACCAAAGCAGGCCACTCCTGAAAGAAATAAATGAATTCCAAAAATCTTGGGCAAATCCAAAGAAGGTTTTCCTGTACGTTCATCACAAAAAATTTCTAGATCCCAATATACCCAATGCCAAATAGCTGCCAAGAAGCACAAGCCAGAAAACACGATATGTGCTCCGGCGACCCCTTCGTAACTCCAAAGACCCGGGTTCGTTATAGTCCCTCCTGTAATATTCCAACCGCCCCACGAATTGGTTATTCCTAAACGAGTCATGAAAGGTATAACGAACATACCTTGTCTCCACATTGGATCAAGAACGGGGTCGGAAGGATCAAAAACTGCTAATTCATATAGAGCCATCGAACCGGCCCAACCAGCAACCAGAGCAGTATGCATTATATGAACAGAAAGCAAACGACCGGGATCATTCAATACAACAGTATGAACACGATACCAAGGCAAACCCATGGAAATACCCCTCTATCAACGAAAAATAGACACTATGTAACTTTATTGCATTGGAAAAAACGATTTTACGGACCCCCCCTTTTTAGGTAATTATTTCGGAGAAAGGATTAATATTTGTTCTATTCTGTTAGTAATAATAGAACAATTCGATTCATAGGAAAAAAGGGAAGCGGATCTATTCTATATCCGATAAGTACCAATACGCAATGGGGGTGAATCCGATTTTATATGAACCGAGAT